GCGATGTCTGGTTCATAGTCATCTTCATCTTCAACTGCAAGTGGAACAGGTTCTGATGTGTCAAGTCCAGGAACAGCAACATCATGCCATTCATCATGGTCACGTCTCACCTTCGATTGATTGACACGCATGACTGCGTTGTCAACATGAACATTTACCATAGCACCTTCTTGAGAGATAACAGTACCTCTGATCCATCTTTCCTTCTTCCATGCCTTTGAAGCAATAGCATTAGCATTGACAGGGGAACTCCAAACGAAAACCTTGTCACCTGGTTTGTAAGGTCCATCTGATGGCATTGTTCGTTTGGCCATGTCATGTCTGAGGTCAGCAGCTGGTCTGGCTTCCTGATGTGCCCTCAGTGCTAACCTTTGCAACTCGAGTTGTGTTCTGTCTTCAGGTAAAGGGTCAACACTAAGTTGAGCAGGATCAGAAGTCTCAATATCCAGAAGATCTGGTGGTCTTCTACCAGTGGCAATTTCCAAAGGAGAATAACCACTAACAGTGAGTTGAGTGTTCCTGGCCCAAACAGTACGCTTCACAGCTTCTCTGATGGTGATTCCCTTGAACCTATCATCTTCAAGGTTCTTGGACATGATTTGCCATTGTCGTTTGAAAAGTCTGACAGCTGATTCAGCTCTGTTAGGCCATGGGGTTCTTGAACCACAGGGACATTCCTTGATACCATGAGTTTGGTAATAAGTCAGAAAGTCTTCTTGAAAGAAAGCTTCATCACCTACAATGGCTTTAGGCATACAATTGTGTTCATCACTCCACAACCTTAGAGCCTGAATGGTCTCCTTGTTGTTCAGTGAGTTGTGCCGTAGCCCAAAGTAAGTTGGTTGCACCATCAAGAACAAGCAACACCATGTACTTGTTCTTCCTCAACTGAATTTCAGCATGATCAACAAAGATAACATCTCCAAAGTTGGTGGATCGTATGCCTGAAATTCTGGTGCAATGGAAGTACTACACACACGACACTTGTTGTACATCTCCTCATACTTCTGATAGACAGAGTCAGGAAGTCCTAACATGGAAGTCCTTCGTCTGAATTGAGTAGGAGACATGTGATAGTGTTTGATATGAAGCTTGTAAAGTTCCACACTATCCTCCAGTTTCCTGAGCATCTTTCTGTATGCTGGTGTCATGGCTTGCACTTCACTACCAGGCAGTGGAATCGAAACTCGCCTAGGCTCAAGAGCATCACTACCTAGTTTCTCAACTTGACTTTCTGAATCTTGCTTACCACGGTTGCGCGCAGGTGCAGAATGTTTTGGTTCAATGACTTGAGGTTCATCTGAATCAATTTTGTCCAAACCTAACTCCCTAGCTACCTTATCAAGCTCATCTTCTTCATCAAGCTTGGGATAGGAGACAACAACCTTCTTTCTTGATGAACCTGATTGAGAGTCATCGACAACCTGAGGTTTCTGCTTACCTACGTGTCTTTTGGCTGCAGGTGGACCTACCTCAATCTTTTTCGAGCCTGGTCCATTTGAAATCGGTTTGCCTTCCTCCTTCTTTAAGGAGCTTGGCTTCTTCTTCTGTACACCTGATGGCACTGAAGAGGCTGACTCAGGGTGAAAAAGATCATCAATGTTTCCACGAAAGGGCTTTGCACGATCAATGTCACTTCTGACAATGTCATCTGGGATCACGTAGTCCTCCTTGATCTTGTAGATGGTCTTGCCCTTCCAGAACTCTTCACTCTGTTCAGAAAACCTCTTCTTCTCAGTGCGCCAGTTGTCCTTGTGAAGAACCTTCTTCTTGCTCTTCTGGAATTCCATGTGGGTTTCTCTCTCATCAAGAAGTTGATCTTTTGGAATTGGAGTTTTCTCTGATCGAGTCATCTCATGTAAGTTCATTCTCTTGTCCTTGTGGTGCCTGATGAGTTCACGACGTAGTGGATCAACCTGCCAGTAGTCACCAGTCACCAAAGCTTCTCCTTCATGATCATCTTGTTTGACAGCAATCTGGCTGTACTCAAAGTGATCGTGTTGTGAATAGAAACTTTTGACTTGTGGAGTCTTGAAATGAACTTGGCTCATGTACCATGCTACATCTTGTAGGTCGAGAATGAGATGAGTACTGATGGCTGTCCTCAAAACCATTTTTCTCATGCCAATACGTGCACAGGACAAATAAGCCTTCTCTGGAGTAAGTTCAAATTGAAATCCAAGGTTTCTCATCTGTGGAAGTGACATCAACAACGGGACATCACCTTCTTCGACAATGTCGAATTCTGTAAACTGAGTGTTCCATCCATGATCATACATGAATATCACGAGCTTCTCAGTACATTTTGATTGTTGTGAGTTTGCAAAGAAGAATCTTGAACTTGTTGGCTGAATTTCATACCAGAGTCCACTGTTGGGATGTGAGTCAACATATCTGCAAAATGCTTCAACTGCTCGTCGAGAGCCCATAGCTCTTGTGCATCCAAGATCCAGAATACACACAGTTGGTGGTGCAGAATTCTCTGTGTGAAAAGCTAGTCCATTCTCACATGCCAGATCAGTTTGTACAGTATGAAATGAAAAAGCACTCTGCTGTGATGGTTCCTCTATCTCTGTAGAGCATCCATGTGAAAACAATGATGTGCCTTCTGCCAATGGCTTCCATGAAGCCTCACCTTCTTGAAGACCAACTTGCCTGGGCACTACAGCTGGACGTTGTTGTACACCTTGTCGTAGTGCACCAACTTCTCCAACCAGAACAGGGAATCTCTTCATTTCTCTCCTGTTTTGATGTGCTCTTGCATCACGTTGGTTCTGTCCTCCACGACGAGTGCGTCGTTGTTCATCTTGTGCTGCATACGTGGATGTCAAAACATCAACACGAGCTGGCTCTGTCTCTGCAACATCAACACGTACTGGTTCAGTTGTTCCAAATGAAAAGAAACCATGACCAGAACTTGAAGCTGCAGAAGAATAATGAGCTTGTTGAGTTTGTTGATTCTGTATGGCAGGAGCTGATGTGGTCTGAGGTTGAACGTAGTTCGACTTGCCTTTTCCATCTCCTGGCTTTCCTCCTTTTCCATCATCATCCTTGCCTTTCTTGCCTTTCTTGCCTTTCTTTCCTTTTCCTTTTCCTTTTCCTTTCTTCTGGAAGTATCCATACTCATCCATGTAGTACAGATCATCATAGGCCCAATAGCCTTCATTCCAGGTTTGATCATCGGCCCAATAGCCGTCATAGTTTTCATTCCATTCATCTTCTTGCCATTCATCTTCATAACCTTCTTCACTCACCATGTGAGCACGGCCTTTTCTTCTTCCTTTTCCTCGGCCTTTTCCTTTTCTTGATTTGAAGAACCTTCGTCCTCCTCTGCCTTTTCCTTTTCCTTTTCTCTTTCCTTTACCTTTGCCTCGTCTGATGTATTTGCCTTGGAACCTTCTCTGATACCATGTGAAGTTGGCGTCATCATAAACCCAGAAAACATCTTCTAAGGCATCCAGGAATCCTTCTGCGCCGTCTTCTTCATCTTCGGCCCAATAGCCGTCGGTTCCTTCTAATTCACCTTCATCCAGTACGAGGAAAGATCTTCTCTGTGCCATGCCAGAGGGTTGCATCAATGGATTGTCAACTGCTGTTTTGGTAGTGCAAAACATTTCCAAAAACAGGTCACGTAGTTCTTGAATACTGTATCGATCGAGGGTTCGTCCACGATGTGTCATGATACTTGTGAGTGTGTTTCTCTGATCTTGACTCAGGTCAGCTAGACTTACAAAAATCAATGCTAGCAAATTTTCACCCAGTGGGAATGCTTGTCGCTGTGCTTCTCTACGATTTTCCTGAAATTGTCTGAATGCCGCTAGTGCCAGTTCATCTGTCCAAGGAACAGCTACATGGGGTGTTCCTGAGGCTGCTGCTACTTCAGCTCTCTCTTGTTGATCTCGTTCATGTTCTTGACGTCGTTGTTGAACAAACAGAATTGCTTCAGGACTAGTCACTGTTACTTCTGGAAGTAAATCCATCCAAGACTCAATAAGTCTATTGCCAGTGAGTTGAAATCTAGTCATCCACTTCTGAAGATCCATGGTTCCTCTGTTGAACTTCATGAACTGCATGAAACGGTATAAGAACACGTTCTGGGCACCTTTGATGAAATGAGGTCGTAGAAATCTTTTGAAATAAGCCACTCCTTCATAGGGATCCCTGAGTAATTCTCTATCCAATAGCCTCTTGTATTGTTGAGCATCTCCTTCCAGTCTGTTGCGCAATGCTGGACCACGTTTCTCTGGTTCTAACTCCGTAATGTCACACCAGTCATCAATTGCATCCTCAAAAGCAAAGAAGCTGGTTCGCCCATCATAGGCTGGAGCAACCTTTGTGGTCATCTGTTGCGTCATATGAATCTGTGTATGCTGGGGTGCTCTTCTCATTGCATAAGAGTCATATTGGTTCCATTCATTTGCATCGACAATGTCGAAGTCATCATCATCATAGCCATGGCTTGCCATTTCTTGGGCTCTACCTGGAGCTCACCCTCAATGAGGGATCACTGCTCCGCTACCACTTGAAGAGGGGCCCTAGCGTCTACTTCAAGATCAGCTAAGGCGTCTTCCCCAATGACAGCACTCTTTTACTCTCAGCCTGTTGCCGGTCAGTGCTTGTCTACAGGGTTACTCTATATACCTCTTTCTTGAGCCTTGAAGGCGCATATAAATGTGCTCAATACTCATGCATGTACCTATGTAGGTATTAGGTCGAAACAAAAACAGGGGGGGGGGTACTAAAATGACTAGCAATCTCCTGAAGAATCAGGTAACGGGGCTGGCCGCCCTCCCCTTTACTTCGTAAAGTAAAACTCAAGGTAGCCCCTCTGGAGCTACCTTTCGTGATAAATAGAATCAATTTCACTCTAGAACACACATCACTCATTTTGGATATATATATATATACATGTATAAGATATATTATATTAAATTATTTAGGTCAAAAACCTCGTGTTGGCGGTGCCTTGGCACATCTTGGCACATCTTGGCGCTGCGGTCCTCCTTTGCCTTGACCTTGGCACTGGTCTTGCTCTTTCCTTTGGGCTCCTGCGATTCGACCTGGTGTTAACCTGCTGGAAACACCATCTGAAAATATCTTTCAACCATCATTTTTTGTTGAAAATACTGAAGTTAAGAAAACATGATGGTTATGACATGTTATGACATCATGAAACATGATGAAACGTCATTCTGAAGAATTCGCCATGTCAATTTTTCGTTTCTATGTCTCTGAAACACAGCGGCTGTGGCTTCATTTTCGTGTTAGAAAAGGTTTAACAGCTAAACATGTAGAAATCACTTGTACAAAATGACCTGTTTGTATCTGTTCAACTCCTATCTTCTGCGACATCAGGGCATTCCCTGCCAGTGCGGTCCGTCTCGATATTGCGGATCGTCTGCACAGCGCCCTGAGCAAATCGTTTCGAGTCGTGTCCGGGAAAAACAGGATAATCATTCTTCGATCACAGATGCTGAGGGAGAGATCTACAGGATCTAAACAGCATCAGTATCTATCAAAGATGAAACAAATATCGACTAATTAAATCTAATTAAAGTATCAACTTTAAAGCCCGGCAAAGTTTTTGAAAGTGGGATCAGGGCATGGCGGCATGGAACAATCGCGGCCTCGAGTTTTTCCAGCTTCTTTCTAAGCTTCTCGTTCTCGGCCTGGAACGACCAACAAAAAGTCTCCATGAGATGAGGCAACATAAAAACATATAAAAACACACCAATGTCATGCATATTTTATCCTGTTTTATCCTGTTTTATCCTGTTTAATCCTGTTTTATCCTGTTTAATCCTGTTTTATCCTATTTTGACTTGACGATTCTTGACTCTCGAATTCGAACACACATCTAATTCATTCTGGAAGTCATCTGATTCAACAAGTACGTGAAACAGTACTTACGTAAAATTACTAAATTCTGTAACAGATATATCATGATATATCATGATATATCATGATATATCATGGATGATGTAAGTCACATAATTGGAACATTGATGATGTATATATTATATAACTTGATGTAACATTGTTTTTCTGTGTCTTTTGACTTGACAGATCTTGACGTGGTGTTCCGCCTCCAGAGCCTTTGAACTGGAACCACCGGTGCTCGGTGCAGCCAACATGCCACTGGTGTCAACGACCTGCAACCGTGGCAACCCACCTCTGCGCTGTCTGCGCTGCGCTGCCCTGAAATCATCATACAATCTACGGAATCTACGAAATCTACGTTTGATTTCAGCTGTTTGACATCATTTGACAACAAGCTATGGATAGCTATGATCTTTTATGATCTTTTGTGCAATTTCATGCTCTTTTCGTATCTATTTTCTGCTTTTAATTACGCGGTTTCAAACATTTCTCTGAAATACCACGGAAAGCTTGTTTTCACCTGCCCAGCCTCTTTAATCCAACCCAGCATCTTTTCAGTCTGCTTCTGGCTGAAGAAGTGTTGATTCCTTGAAAACTGCACAGCTAAGACAAGTCCGAATCTTCCAACAAAACAAGGAGGACTTGGACGACTAGAAGGGCTAGAACACAAAATGCATCAAAATGCCAGAACTTGATGACTGAGATACTGCATGGTGCCGAGCAAAGCCAAATAATCGTAGAAAAAGTTCGAGTCTGTGTTGTCATACCTTGGCTTACATCTCAACATCACAGCCAGTGCCCGATCTTGCTGAAACATGCTGAAACCATTACTCTTTCCACAAGGCATCAAATGATTTCACAACATTTAACATATGAAATCAAGATGACGAATCAAGATTAGGAACAAATTATGAATCGAACAGATGTCTATTGCTGTTATTTTCTGTTTGCATATGACTGAAGTTCGAACTTGCCCGTGTTGTAGGCAGTGTGGATCTTCTCAACAGCCTGCAACTTTGCCAAGACCAACACTGAAAAATGTCGATCCAAGGAAACACCGTTCACAATATTGCGAGACTGTGAATTATGATTATTAATTCAAAACACTCTCACAATTCTCTCTCTCATATATATATATATAAAATTATATATATATATCATTCTTGGGAATCAAAAACGGGAGGGCTTCAAAGGATGTGATCCAAGCGAGTTGTGCGTCACTCACAGGTGAGAAACGAACAACATCAAACAACCAACTTAACGATACTTGACCATACTTGACGATACTTAAGAGGTAAACATCTTTCAACATGTTCTTTTCATGTCCTTTCAATATGACAGAAGACCCGTCCCATCATGTCCCATCGTTTTCCCAAACGACTTGGCCTGAAAAAGTTTCACTGCCAAAGGCCCGTCCACAGCATCCTCCTCAGAGAGGTTGAAGACTGCCTCACGAGGAGGTGAAGCGATGTTAAAGCGATGTTAAGCGGTACAAAGCGACACAAAAGATCTGTGCGAACACGCATGAATAATATATATATATATTAATATACGTATAATAGATCAATAAATATATATGAATCATGTAGCATAATCACATGCAAGACACAGGCGGTTCATGGATGATTCGATGTGTAACAAACTGGCCCCTACGGCCCAGCAGATTACAAACTGATGCTTCAAGTGCAATAAGATCAGCTTGTGCAGCATACTGATCCTGAAGTGATGCTGCTATCTTCGTTGGAGTCATATCTTCTTTGCCTTTCTGGAGTCAGATCTTTGACTGGCGTAGATATTTAAAAATCTTCTTTGATAAATCTGTTCTTTCCGATTCTTTCCAAAACGCTCACATGTTTCATCCAACTTTCCATCCAAATTTTCATCATGTCCGACTTCTCGTGATTTTTTAAGAAACATACGATAATTATCCGATAATTTCACATGTTTTCTATGTCCACTGTATGTCGTCTGTCGTCGCCTCGTTGAGCTTGAAGAGGTGCTCCGCTCGCAGAGACTTTGGAGGGTTGGACTCCTGTGGACTGTTGAAATCGTTGAAACATCTTGAAACCTATAAAGCCACACTTATAAATTAACTTACAGAAACTTACTTACAGAAACTAAACTTGGAACTTACTGCATGTTAAAACAACATTAAAAAAAAAACAGTGTTAGACATACACATGTGAGAATTGGATGCGGCACGGCATATCAGCACTCAAACGTTGAATCTGGCAGTGTTGGACATCAGTTGGACATCGTGTTGGAATACAACATTTCATCAGGTTTCATCATTTTTCATCAGGTTTCGGCTCTCCTTTTTTATCTCATTGAGCACCTGTGTCAGGTACAGCATGGCTCCTTGGGTGACATATGACAGTTTTCAAAATGCATTCCTGTCATCAGTTGTCTTTGCATTTTTGCGCAATTAATGTGTGTGTGTATTTGATCATATGTGTAAGCTAGTCAATTTCTTTTGAAACTCTTTGTTTCACAGATGTTCACAGTATGATCACTTCTTTGAACTGCCCCTCATGTTACATCCTCTTGCACAGGAGCAAAGTCTGATAAAGTCTGGCTGTTTCTGCTCTCCAAGTTGCGACCTCTTTCCAGGCTTGTGATGACCTCAAAACACGCACCATGCCCGCCATGCCCGCCATGCCCAAACTGGAGTTTCAAACATCCCAAACCTCCCAGAACTCCTGGCATCAAGATCATCAATTATCATCAATGATCAAAAATGATGATCTTGTCATCGGAATGTCATCGGAATCATTCTTTCACCCTTGTCAACCTGGTCTCATTGGAACGAGACTAAGTTCCGGACAGTGCCCGTGCTGCCGTGCTGTCAGGTTTGAGCCGTCCGCAGCGTCAAAATGAGCCAAAAGAACACCCGAGATCACCCTGAACGATCCCAAAAAGATCATCCCTTTGCCATTTTGAGATGAAGAACTCTGCTATTTTGGAAAGCTAACTTATCTAACTTATCTAACTTCTGGAGAAAAGGAAGTCCAAAATGTCGCTTTCCCATTCTTTCACTCTGTCACCATATCTATCCTTGACAGAGTCATAGACATGGGTCCTGTCATAGTGTACTTCAGTCATAAAATGCGATGTCACTATGATCATGAAATATCAATACCAAGAATGGACACTCCGAGCCTCATCAACATTCAAGAACCAACAAGATCAAACAGATTCAACAAGATCAATAAGCATCAATAAGCATCAATAAGCATCAACATACCATCCAGTTCATACACATCCGATTACAATTCATCCATGCTCGTGTTTTTACAATATCACACACGGTTCGGTTCACATTTTTGTCATCTGTTCAGCTCTCTTTTTGTTCCCGGCTGCCAAGGCTTAGGACCCGCGTTGTCGACACAGTGGACAGATGTTGGGACTTGGTATAGATCCGTATAGTAATTACAGATAGTTACAGATAGTTACAGTATACAGTGTACAGTATACTATGCAATTCCCAACTCTTGATTTCTTATGATTTCTTCATCCATACATGTGCTATATGTGCTGATTGTTGTCCAGTTGGTGTGTGTCAGCGACAACAGCGGTCGTGACTCCTGCATGTGGTTCTGAGTCACCGGGCAGACCGGACACTGGACCAGGGACTGGACCAGGGACACGAAATGATCACGAAGTGATCACGAAGATCATGAAGTGCACATATTGCACATATTGCACATGGACTCTGCTGGATGCTGGATCTGTTAAAGTCTGTCTGTCAAAGTCTGTCTGCGCCCCACTTTGCTGGGAAAAAGGGCAAAAGCAAAGCTGGAGCCACAGCAGGTGACTTCGTCGTCACGCTCTGAGCACATTTTGGTGGCTCAAAAGTGAGGGGCCAATGTACCAATGGACCAATGGACCCACAAAATTGATTATGAACACAGCTATGAAGTAATGTATTCAACTGTATTTAACTGTATTTAACATTACTTTGCCATCCATAGTCATCCATAGTTTGGATTAGTTTGGTAGCTTCGACATGGATTTTGAGCCCCAGGAGATCATTGGTGCATAGCTCGCCCAGCTCGGTGTAGCGACCAGGGGCACCGGAGGCCGGAGCCGAAGATCATGGAAGATCCGCAGAGACATGCCATGGCCATGGCCAGGTGACAAACAGGATTGCATTGAAACATCTGGAAAACATCTGGAAAAATGAGGAAAAACATCTTGAACTGGAGAAAAATTGAGGAAAGATATGACAAACAAACAACTTCACCAATGTCCCTGGACTCGACAACTAGACATGACTTCACCCTTTTCGAATCTTTTCGATCTTTGCCTGTTTGTATCTGTTTGTCATTAATTTGGCTCGCATGTTGATGTCACGGTTGGTTCACAGGGCTTCAAACCCGTGGCCGGTATTTGGGGACCACGGAACGAGGCGTTGAACGCGTTGAACCCCCCCACTGCCGCAGCAGATGGAGGCCACTCAGTTCACACTACGCAGTCTACTCCAACCCGATAGAGACACGTCTGAAGTCACAAATCGGTCACATCGGTCTCTAGGATCGAAGCAATCTACATGAATTCGAAGTAAATCGAAGGGTCACAAAGCCTCCACATATCACTTGCTTTCCACTTGCTTTCCACTTGCTTCTCTACGGTCTGCAAGGCTCTCGGCTTGGACCGAGCAATGGAAACATGGGAAACATATCCGATCATGTCCGATAAGAAACACTTGTCCCTCGCAACAAGAGAAAGCCATGAAATGACATAGAAATGACATAGAAAGGACATAGAAAGGAGATATATGGAGATATAGGGGTAACATGGGGTAACCATGGGGTAACCATGGCAGTCATGGTAGCATGTGCTATGGTGAGATATTCAGACCAGGATCAGAAACCGAAACAATGGAAACAATGGACATGCTGGAGCCAACTGAGCTCAACTGAGGAAACAAAGTTTCCTGTCTGTGGAAGGATGTGCCATGATGTGCGGATGAGCAAGGCTTGATGGAATATGATGGATAAACACATTCATGTACCTATGTACCTGTACCTGTCTCAATGGAGCTGCAACTGATGTTAGAAGGCTCTGCCAAAAGCAGGCATGCGGCCAGCTTGTGGCCTGAATTCTCTGCCAATTCAGCACGCTATACGAATCTGGCAAATTGAGACGAAAAACCAACGGAAAACCAAGAGTTCCAACATTTGGACCTTTTCCGAAACTTTTCCCTTTTCGACATTTTCCGACATTTTTCGACATTTAAGTTTTGACCTTTTGGAGACATTTTGGACATGTCATCATTGCCAGGTTCTTTGTGCTGGAATCAACTTGAGTCATGACTGCCCTCGCGTTGCGCCACAGCTGAAGTCCGGACGCATTGAAAACAACCGAGCGAAACAGGCAGCGATGCGCCGTGAAGCTCGAAGGAAAGACATCGGAAAACCGTTTGGAAAACTGCGAAAAACTGCATCCAAAGTCTGAAGCGTATGTTCACTCAATCCATTGCGGTAAAATCGGACAAACATGTACGTCAAAAGAAACACCTTGGCAGTGGAACAAAATCTCCAAAATTACCTGAGTATCTCTGAAACAATTACCAAATTGCAAGGTTTCCAGAATTTAGTAATTCCAGGCAATTCCTAAATTCCCCAAATGCAAAAATTCGTCCAAATTCCTAAGAGCTCAGAGTTCCGTGTGCGCTTCCGAGCTTCTTCCGGCCAGTTGAACGGCCAAGCAGTGCTGAGCTCTGTCTGCGGCAAGGGAACACCGGGGAAGCAACGTATCAACATCTGTCACAACGGGTCATCATGCCATCATGATGGCTTATGTGTGCAAAAAGGAAGAACTGTTCCATGTTGTGTGAGGAACCTGGTATGATTCATATGATCTTTGATTCCCCCAGAACATGTCGCCAAACTAAGCCCGTCGTGGGCGTCTTTCAGTCTTTCAGCCCGTGCCAGAGTGTGCCATCGTGACAGCACCAGCACAACTGTACCTTTCAGATCCTTTCGGATTTTCCTCTGTCAGTCTGAACCGGCCATCACAGCCAGTGTCCATGACTTTGGAACTCAGCCAGATGAGGTCACAGGTCAAAGATCACGGCCCGAATCACATATCATGGAATATCATGGCGAGTGAAGATCGTATAAGATCGTATAAGATCGTATACCACAAGAAACCTAAATGCCACATATGCAAAACATGCCTTAAATATGCCAAATATATCCAAATATGCAGGTTTGGCTTCGCAGAAGTTGCGTTGCAGTGCTGAGTCCCTGAGCTTCCAGCCACGGCGAAGCGGTCCACCATCTCTGTGTGCAAAGGACGACCTGGGAACGACACGCCACAGGACCACAGGTCACGGATAGGGATCAAGACAGGGACGGAAAGAACCGAGGAAAAAGGATGAAACAGGTGGAATATGGAATGAACATGGTGGAATTGGAGAATTCTGTGACAATGGCCTTGAAACACAGGGAAGAAAGTGGTTACACATGGTTACACTATTAATCACTATTACAATATGTTACAATATGTTACGATGTTCTTTTATCATTTTTTATCTGTAGAAACAGTTGCAAACTTGCTCCCACTCCAGGACATCAGTCTAAATCGGCTCCATCTGAAAAAGGAGTGAAAAAGCAACAGAAAAAGATCCTCAAAGGATCCTACAGAGAATTGCAAGGTGTCTTTTCAATTTTCTACATGCACAATGAATTTGCTTTTGATTTGGTCAAGAATCATTGTGCTCTAAATCTGCACACGGAGCTTGAGGCATTTTCTCTGAGGCTCTAGCAACGGCTTGAAAGAGGGCCTTAGCAACAGTATCAACATAGCATCAACATGTATCAACATGCATCAACCGTATCAGAGCTGTATCAGAGCTGTACCCTTTTAGCGCGGCTGAACAGGGGCTGAACCAACCCCATCTGAGAGCGCAGCTTGACACTCTTTCCGCCTTTCAGCTGCCGTGGCGGCAACATCAATGTCTTCACCTGCCACGAAATGCTACGAATTGCAGAACAGCGGGGAATGGGTGTTTTATTTAAATCTGACGTCGAAATGCAGTGGGTATAGCTGGGTGTTTTCTGAAAAATCCTCTTAAATCATGGCTTTCCATGGCTTTCCAGGGGGCCCATGCCGTCTTCACCTCCTTTTCCATGAGCAGATGAAGATTCTGCCGGAGGCTGCGGAAGAGGTGAAGACAGACCTGACATCCGTCGTTCGGCGGGTCGTACGCCGATGTGTACGACACAATGGACTCATCCGGACTCACTGAAAACTTGGAGAACCACATCTGAGTCATCTGAAGAGTCAACGAGCCACTGGACAAACATGGACAAACCTACTGTCGCCGACTGTCTCTGAGTTCACTTGACTTACTTAACAACATTTCATGCATTTCGTGCATTTCTTTTGTACGGTTTTATATCCAGGACATCGTCGTTTTTCTCCTTTTCTCTCGTTTTCTCTCGTTTTGTCTCTTTCTTCGTCACCTTCTTGGCTGACAGGAAGAGCTCCCAGAGCACGTGTGCCTGCCGTGAGTCGTCAGGTTGCTAGCAGGGCAAAAGGAACAAATTCGACAAACACAACAAACACAACAAAAACACAATGCAGAGTTTTTGCTCCACCTTTTTTCCAAAGGCTTTAACAGGTTTTGCGGGCTTAGGGGTATCAATTTCTAATGAATCCATTTCCACACCAAACAGGGTTGCTCCCAACACCCCGAAAACAAGTGTGGGAAATTAGGTAAACAAAGATGAAATGGTAAATTAGTGTCAGCTCTTTGCAATCAGTTTGCCCAATGGAGCCGACATTGGGACCGTATTGTCACTTTTGTCACTGGCTGTCGTCGCTTGTCGGGAGTTGTCGCCTCATGGCCTCATGTCTTTATGTTGATGCTACCCTTTGGTAATCCAACATAGCTACGGAAAATGGCCCAATTGTTTGATCTATTAAAAAAATGAGGATTTTCTATGGCTGTGTTAAATTTAAATTGTCAGAAAGTAGGCATGATATTCCTTCCAAAGCGAGGGTCCATTATCAGAATGGAGCAACCTCCCAAGGACTTGTCAAGGATTGAGACAAAATCAGACAAAATCCCTGAAATCAAGAAATCAACATGAACCATTTGACAAACATCAGTTTTGCACAAACATTCAGGCCCATTGACCCATTGTCGGGCAGATTTGGTGCACAAATGGCAGAAAAAACGATGCCACAGGACACATGGACCTGGTATGACCTGGTGATGTTGATACAGAGTTTTGCTGAATCATCTCTCAACTTACCGGAAGCCAACACCATATCAACACCATATATCCACCATACTCCAATTATTCCTATTTACAGTAAATATACTGTACTATTTATCCTATTCTGTGGCAGTCTCATACTGACTCATACTCTGTATTTACCTGTTCCCATCCTTCATTTGAGCCCATTGTCTCACTGAAAGCTTCTGCACCTTTGGACCCTCCTCCACAACAGCTAAAGTGCTGAAAGCCTTGGAGGTAGCGGCCACTCAGCAATTTCATTCACTTCCCGGGTGAAATGAAAGATTACATTTGAGATGATCATAAAATGACATTTGAGATGATCATAAAATGACATTTGAGATGACATTTGCAATACAATGAGATACAAATGAGATGTGAGCCAAGTGACTCTAAGTGAGCTCAATTGATCCCCCAGGTGTTTGTTCGCGTGCAGTGCACGTGCAAAATGCATCGAAATGCCATCAAGATCGTCACATATCGTCACGCACCTTTGAACAGCAGATTTTCCGAGTTTTCCCAAGTCGCCCGGCTTTGGGTCGGCGGTCGCGTCCCAAAGCTTCCTCCTATGGCCAGAGAATTTACCACAGGAAAGCAGAAATGAGAACATTTCACAAACGATGGACGAAACACGCAGAAAAACATGTAGAAAAACATGTTGAAATGAGAATCTTCGGCTTTCCCGAAGGATCATGCAGTGACATTTGAAGGTCTTGTGCTTCCAGCTAGGAAAGCAGGTTACAAGACATGTCATCACGTCAACACGCATAAGATCTGCACTATTTAGACACTACTTACATTTAAACAAACATGGAATAAATGAACATGTCCAGCCGTTACATGTTTGCCGCTCCTGATCCTGCAAACACATTGGGAGCGTTTGAACAGGGCTTTTTGAACAGGTCTTTGGCTATCCGCTATCAGCTACCCCAATCCGAGTAAAACAACGGTCTCGGGACAAGTCGTGTTGAGTCCGCTTTGTGCAACATGAATTTGAAACATCTCGATGCATCTTCAATGATCATGCTGATGTCATCATGGCCAGCATCTGCAAAGCACACTGTCAACGTCTCCCTGAGCCCAAAGATGGACGATCTATGGTGATGTTATGCGATTTCCTGGTCCCTGCAAATGGCTTGGTGCAGCCATTATCATTTGAAGGCCACTTGAATCAAACAAGTCCACGCAATTTAAGAGAACATAAGTAACATAAGAGAAGAACACGGAAGAGCCCTCTTTGCACCAAAGAACATCAGCATTTCTGCATATGGCACTGTTCAAAATGTTCAAATCTCAGGCGTTTCTTTTTCCATCTCGATCTTGTCCGACTCTCGACTTGGCCTCTCCAATCTGCATCTGCATCTCTGTTGTAATTTCTTGTCACTTCTTGTCATTTGTTGATTGTTTCTCACATGAGTGCTTTTTCCATGTGCTTTCAGCCCAAAACAACACGTGTTCACTGGTCCACTTGGAATGATTTCATTCAACTGAGTCTGTGTTTGGTCTAAGGCTTCCAAGGCTCTAAGGGTGAGTTCTTGCTCTAAATCTGCCACATGGAACAGGATAACTTGGATAACTTGGATAACTTAGATGACTTGAATGACTTGCGTCTGCAAGCAGAAACCTCCGTTTCCGCGTGTGCTCAGCCGGATCTTAGCGGGTGAAGCCGCCACCACCTTAGAGACATGAAATATCTTGAAATGTTCCATGATGGTCTTATGGTGATAAACAATGATAAAATCATGATCAAATCATGATCAAATCATGATCAATAGATATATACATAGATATATACTGGGTACTGATGAGTTAGGACTTGTGGCCCCGGATAAGTCAGGACTTGCTGGGGTCTAGTCCTATCTCTTGTGTCCACTGTTTGAAGCGCTTATGGGGAATTGGCTAGAATAGCCACATGGGTTAGGAGTTTTGGTACCCGGGATTTGCCAAAACTCCCAACTCATGTGCGTTGAACCCGCTCTGAGACCTGAATGCAAGTCTGAAAAAAACACCTTGATAAATGATCGGGACTTCATGTTTTGTGACAGCAGCAAGGGCTGATGAGATAGGAAATTACAACGGTTCTAGAAAAAAACAAGTCCTATCTCACATGCGTTCAGTGGCCCATCTTTTTGCCTAGTTACACCCATGTGCCAATAGATTTCCCGGATCAACCCCCACAAGTCCTATCTCACCTGCTTTTAGTGGTCAAGGTTTTTCCCTTGCTGCACCCATGTGCCATTAGATTTCCCAGGTCAAATCGTCAAATCCCCACAAGTCCTATCTCATCTGCTTTGTAGTGGTCGCTATTCAGCGTTTTTTCATTTTACATTATTTTCCTGTTGTGTCTCCCGTTGTGTCTCTCCGTTGTGTCTCCCCGGGGCGGCGTTTGCAACTGCTGACCGTCCAGACCGCTCTGAGCAGTGAAGCTGTGGGTGCGAGCAATTCCAAGCGCCTCCCCGGTGAGACACAACGGGTGCCATAGATTTCCCAAGTCAAAGCGTCAAATCTCCACAAATCCTATCTCATCTGATTTTAATGGTCGCTACTTTTCCCTTCCCATGTGCCATAGATTTCCCAAGTCAAAGCGTCAAATCTCCACAAATCCTACAGTATCTCATCTGCCTTTAGTGGTCGCTATTTTTCCCTTGCCGCACCCACGTGCCATTACATTTCCCAGGTCAAATCATCAAATCCCCACAAGTCCTATCTCATCTGCTTTTAGTGGTCGCTATTTTTCCCGTGCCACACCCATGTGTCATTAGATTTCCCAAGTCAAATCGTCAAACCCCCACAAATCCTATCTCATCTGCTTTTAGTGGTCGCTATTTTTCCCTTGCCACACCCATGTACCATTAGATTTCCCAAGTCAAATCGTCAAACCCCCACAAGTCCTATCTCATCTGCTTTGCAGTGGTCGCTATTCAGCTTTTTCTCAGTTTACATCATTTTCCTGTTGAGTCTCCCGTTGTGCCTCTGCGTTGTGTCTCCCCTGGGAGGCGTTTGCAACTGCTGACTGTCCAGCCCGTTCTGAGCAGTGAAGCTGCGGGGGCGAGCAGTTCCAAGCGCCTCCCCGGTGAGACACAACGGGTGCCATAGATTTCCCAAGTCAAATCGTCAAATCTCCACAAGTCCTATCTCATCTGCTTTCAGTGGTCGCTATTTTTCCCTTGCCACACCCATGTGCCATTAGATTTCCCAAGTCAAATCGTCAAACCCCCACAAGTCCTATCTCATCTGCTTTGCAGTGGTCGCTATTCAGCTTTTTCTCATTTTACATCATTTTCTTGTTGTGTTTCCTGTTGTGCCTCTCCGTTGTGTCTCCCCGGGGAGGCGTTTTCAACTGCTGACCGTCCAGCCCGTTCTGAGCAGTGAAGCTTTGGGGGCGAGCAGTTCCAAGCGCCTCCCCGGTGAGACACAACGGGTGCCATAGATTTCCCAAGTCAAAGCGTCAAATCAACACACATACTATCTCATCTGCTTTTGGTGGTCGCTATTTTTCCCTTCCCATGTGCCATTAGATTTCCCAAGTCAAATCGTCAAACCCCCACAAGTCCTATCTCATCTGCTTTGCAGTGGTCGCTATTCATGTTTTTCTCATTTTACATCATTTTCCTGTTGTGTCTCCCGTTGTGTCTCTCCGTTTTGCCTCCCCGGGGCGGCGTTTGCAACTGCTCACCGTCCAGACCGTTCTGAGCAGTGAAGCTGTGGGGGCGAGCAGTTCCAAGCGCCTCCCTGGTGAGACACAACGGGCGCCATAGATTTCCCAAGTCAAATCGTCAAATCTCCGCAAGTCCTATCTCATCTGCTTTCAGTGGTCGCTATTTTTCCCTTGCCACACCCATGTGCCATTAGATTTCCCAAGTCAAATCGTCAAACCCCCACAAGTCCTATCTCATCTGCTTTGCAGTGGTCGCTATTCAGCTTTTTCTCAATTTACATCATTTTCCTGTTGTGTCTCCCGTTGTGCCTGTCCGTTGTGTCTCCCCGGGTTTGCAACTGCTGACCGTCCAGCCCGTTCTGAGCAGTGAAGCTGTGGGGGCGAGCAGTTCCAAGCGCCTCCCCGGTGAGACACAACGGGTGCCATAGATTTCCCAAGTCAAAGCGTCAAATCAACACACATATTATTTCATCTGCTTTTGGTGGTCGCTATTTTTTTCCCTGGCCGCGCCCATGTGCCACTAGATTTCCCAGGCCAAATCCCCACAAGTCCTATCTCATCTGCTTTGCAGTGGTCGCTATTCATGTTTTTTCTCATTTTACATCATTTTCCTGTTGTGTCTCCCGTTGTGCCTCTCCGTTGTGTCTCCCCGGGGAGGCGTTTGCAACTGCTGACCGTCCAGCCCTTTCTGAGCAGTGAAGCTGTGGGGGCGAGCAATTCCAAGCGCCTCCCTGGTGAGACACAACGTGTGCCATAGATTTCCCAAGTCAAATCGTCAAATCTCCACAAATCCTATCTCATCTGCTTTTAGTGGTCGCTATTTTTCCCTTGCCACACCCATGTGCCATTAGATTTCCCAAGTCAAATCGTCAAACCCCCACAAGTCCTATCTCATCTGCTTTGCAGTGGTCGCTATTCAGCTTTTTCTCATTTTACATCATTTTCCTGTTGTGTCTCCCGTTGTGTCTCTCCGTTTTGCCCCCCTGGGGCCGCGTTTGCAACTGCTGACCGTCCAGACCGCTCTGAGCAGTGAAGCTGTGGGGGCCAGCAGTTCCAAGCGCCTCCCCGGTGAGACACAACGGGTGCCATAGATTTCCCAAGTCAAATCGTCAAATCTCCACAAGTCCTATCTCATCTGCTTTCAGTGGTCGCTATTTTTCCCTTGCCATACCCATGTGCCATTAGATTTCCCAAGTCAAATCATCAAACCCCCACAAGTCCTATCTCATCTGCTTTGCAGTGGTCGCTATTCAGCTTTTTCTCATTTTACATCATTTTCTTGTTGTGCCTCCCGTTGTATCTCTCCGTTTTGCCTCCCCGGGGCCGCGTTTGCAACTGCTCACCGTCCAGCCCGTTCTGAGCAGTGAAGCTTTGGGGGCGAGCAGTTCCAAGCGCCTCCCCGGTGAGACACAACGGGTGCCATAGATTTCCCAAGTCAAATCGTCAAATCCCCACAAATCCTATCTCATCTGCTTTTAATGGTCGCTATTTTTCCCTTCCCATTTGCCATTAGATTTCCCAAGTCAAATCGTCCAACCCCCACAAGTCCTATTTCATCTGCTTTGCAGTGGTCGCTATTCATGTTTTTCTCATTTTACATCATTTTCCTGTTGTGTCTCCCGTTGTGTCTCTCCGTTTTGCCTCCCCGGGGCCGCGTTTGCAACTGCTCACCGTCCAGACCGTTCTGAGCAGTGAAGCTGTGGGGGCGAGCAGTTCCAAGCGCCTCCCTGGTGAGACACAACGGGCACCATAGATTTCCCAAGTCAAATCGTCAAATCTCCACAAGTCCTATCTCATCTGCTTTCAGTGGTCGCTATTTTTCCCTTGCCACACCCATGTGCCATTAGATTTCCCAAGTCAAATCGTCAAACCCCCACAAGTCCTATCTCATCTGCTTTGCAGTGGTCGCTATTCAGCTTTTTCTCAGTTTACATCATTTTCCTGTTGTGTCTCCCGTTGTGCCTCTCCGTTGTGTCTCCCCGGAGAGGCGTTTGCAACTGCTGACCGTCCAGCCCGTTCTGAGCAGTGAAGCTGTGGGGGCGAGCAGTTCCAAGCGCCTCCCCGGTGAGACACAACGGGTGCCATAGATTTCCCAAGTCAAAGCGTCAAATCTCCACAAGTCCTATCTCATCTGCTTTCAGTGGTCGCTATTTTTCCCTTGCCACACACATGTACCATTAGATTTCCCAAGTCAAATCGTCAAACCCCTACAAGTCCTATCTCATCTACTTTCCCCTGCGACATTAGATTTCCCAAATCAAATCGTCAAACCCCCACAAGTCCTATCTTATCTGCTTTGCAATGGTCGCTATTCAGCTTTTTCTCATTTTACATCATTTTCCTGTTGTGTCTCCCGTTGTGTCTCTCCGTTTTGCCCCCCTGGGCCGCGTTTGCAACTGCTCACCGTCCAGACCATTCTGAGCAGTGAAGCTGTGGGGGCGAGGAGTTCCAAGCGCCTCCCCGGTAAGACACAACGGGTGCCATAGATTTCCCAAGTCAAATCGTCAAATCTCCACAAATCCTATCTCATCTGCTTCAGTGGTCGCTATTTTTCCCTTGCCATACCCATGTGCCATTAGATTTCCCAAGTCAAATCGTCAAACCCCCAGAAGTCCTATCTCATCTGCTTTGCAGTGGTCGCCATTCAGCTTTTTCTCAATTTACATCATTTTCCTGTTGTGTCTCCCGTTGTGTCTCTCCGTTTTGCCTCCCCGGGGCGGCGTTTGCAACTGCTCACCGTCCAGACCGTTCTGAGCAGTGAAGCTGCAGGGGCGAGCAGTTCCAAGCGCCTCCCCGGTAAGACACAACGGGTACCATAGATTTCCCAAGTCAAATCGTCAAATCTCCACAAGTCCTATTTCATCTGCTTTGCATTCAGCTTTTTCTCATTTTACATCATTTTCCTGTTGTGTCGCAACTGCAAACGCCTCCAGCCCGTTCTAAGCAGTGAAGCTATGGGCGCGAGCAGTTCCAAGCGCCTCCCCGGTAAGACACAACGGGTGCCATAGATTTCCCAAGTCAAATCGTCAAATCTCCACAAATCCTATCTGCTTTTAGTGATCGCTATTTTTCCCTTGCCGCACCCACGTGCCATTAGATTTCCCAGGTCAAATCGTCAAATCTCCACAAGTCCTATTTCATCTGCTTTGCAGTGGTCGCTATTTTTCCCTTGCCGCGCCCATATGCCATGAGATTTCCCAGGTCAAATCGTCAAATCTCCAAAAGTCCTATCTCATCTGCTTTTAGTGGTCGCTATTTTTCCCTTGCCGCGCCGATGCGGCATCAGATTTCCCAAGTCAAATCGTCAAACCCCCACAAGTCCTATCTCATCTGCTTTTAGTGGTCGCAATTTTTCCCTTGCCGCACCCATGTGCTTTTAGATTTCCCAGGTCAAATCGTCAAATCTCCAAAAGTCCTATCTCATCTGCTTTTAGAGGTCGCTATTTTTCCCTTGCCGCGCCAATGTGCCATTAGATTTCTCTGCTCAATCGTCAAATCCCCACAAGTCCTATGTCATCTGCTTTTACACGGGGAAGTGCATCCTGGCTCCCACTCCCCATTCTTATTTTTAACGGGAAGCTACCAGAGGCCATGTGGGAAACTGCGGAGGTGCACAGCGAGACCGGTTACATGCAACAACAGGGAGACACGCGGCCCGCGAGCCGTGTCGCTTCCCGTTAGAGATAAAAACAGGGAGACACGTGGCCGTCCGTTCTCCGCGAGCCGTGTTGCTGCCCGTTATTAAAGCTAACAACAGTAGAGAAACAACGAGAAAATGAAAAAAAAAATACGTTCAGTAGCTTTTTACCTTATTGCCAAATGGCTCAGGATGAAACCCATGAGATGGGAATTCTTCATGGGATATAGATGCTACAGTCCCAACACATGGGTTATGTGAACATACCCCAAATCAGCCCTAAGTCCTATCTCATGTGTCCAAACTGTAGCCTGTAGCATTAAAAAAACACACCGTGGGAATGTAAAAACTTGATGCAGGTATCCTTCAAATGACTACTAGAACCACATGAGATAGGAGTTTGGCACTTTCAAAGGGCAAAAACAATACTTTACTCATGAGATGGGAAATCAAGAAAACTGGACCCTCCGACAACTCCTATCTCATCCGTACCTAGTATATACATAGATATAAATAGAGCCAAGAGGGATGTAGGGCCAAAGAGTGGACATCAAATGCAACTCCCACGGGCCGCTAGGGCCGCTAGGGGATTAAGACGCTCGCCATGAAATGCCAAGTTCGTTGTTCCTGGTCTCTGGGGCAAAGCCTGAGATGCGCCACGAAAAATTGGCACGACAGATTTTTGACATGTTCGTTATTTGTTCGTTTGACAACAGACATCCTGATACGACATGATAGGAACATATAGGAACCTGTGACAATTCCATGTTCTCAGCTCCGTCAATATCCGACCTATCTGCTTTGACCTACGGCCATCGATGGTTTTCGATGGTCGGAAACGATGGTCGGAAACTGGGATGATCTGGGATGATCTGGGATGATCGATGGCTGAGAGCCCTGCTGGCAGCTCTTTCTCCTCCCGATCTTTGAAGAAGATCTGCGAACGGGCTCTGCGTGTCTCTGCATCCGCTCGAACGTAAATTTGGCGAAGGCAAATATACTACGGATACCAAATGATACCAAGATATGCAAAAAAATGCAAAATGCAATAAATCCCTTGTTTGTTTCAATTTGTTTTCAATTTGCTTCCATCCGCCTGCATTGTAAAGACCTTCCTTTGTGGATCCCAGCTAGTGAAGAACTTGTTTTCGTTCTTGTCGATCTCCATGTTGGGCACCTGCGAGGCTGCTCAAAACAAAGAAAGTTGAAAGAACGGTGGCCGAAAACGGACCAACATGAAGATTTGCCGATATTCCGATATTTGCATGACTTATCATGATTTGCCCTTAATGCCCAGTGGGATGCAGGGACGGCGATGGCAGGATGCAACTGACCTTGAAGGCGATGGTTTCGTAGGGCTCGCATGCGGTGAGCAGGTACTGGAACTTCGACTGGCGAGATGGAAAGGAGCTGAGGAGCTGAGGACAGCTGACGTTGCTAGTGACTGTTAGTCCTTGTTACAGTCGAAATATGTTGAAATCGTTTGAAAATCTCAAATTCTGTTGCTACTTCTGTAGCTACATGTTGCTACTCTCGTACTGTGCCCGTGCCTCTGGCGGCTCGACCTGAAATGCCGCAAGCTGCTTTAAACTCGGCTCGAAACTCCATCTCGCTACGCGTTCTGAAGGCGTTCTGAAGGCGCCTTCTGCTCGTAGGCAGACATGAAGCGATATCGAGGCTTGATCCTGTCCAGAGCCTCATGTGACTCGATCTCAGATCTCAAAGGACTCCAAGGTCCAAGGTATGTCCAAGGTATGTCCAAGGTGCTCAAGGTGACGCAACACGCATCCAAAACGCATCCAAAACGCATCAACAACACTCCGTCCCCGAAACAGGTGATATTTGGTGTGAGAACTTTTCAATCCTTCGGAGCGCGCCTCAGGATATTCGATCTCAAAAAGCAAGGCCTTCTGCTGTGAGTCTGGATCTCTCTCCTGGAAACGTTGAAGGTAAAATGACGTACAGGTGGGTACACTACAGGCACAAAACAAGACTCATGACCCACATCATTGGTGTGACATTCTCTACATGTGTGGCTCGTCTAGCAAGGACATGCACTGCAGTAAAAAAACAACTCATGTGACTCATGTCGACACAATCTGAATTCCGGGGATTCATCTCATCAATAATTACTATGGAACCCCCAATGGAGCTGTAAGTTTTCGGGCAAAGTTTACATTGATGCGGACGCCAGGATTCCACAGGATTCCAGGACTGCACTGCATCGTCCTTGGTCACTCGGTAACCTGGCCTTCCGATCTTCACTGTCTTCCGTGGACCTACGGAGGCATCAAAGGACGAAAATGCTGCAGAAAGCGCCAAAATAGTCGATGTCAAAGGCCATGTTGATGCATGATGTATATTGATGTAAATTATAGATTAGTAATGATTATTATAGTATACAGTATACATATAATATTATATTATATATATATATTACATAAGAGAAACAAGGGGAAAAACAGGAAAACAAAACCAGTTAAACTCCCTTGTCCCAAGATCATTACAAGCCGCTACTTTTATGCTCGCGACTTGAGCCAAGGTAGTTGCAAAGGCTATTATGTTGAACCCGCTGGTTAAAGGTGGGGACAACAATTCCTAAGCTATACAATGGCTCTACCTACAGCTAACGCTTCTAGCTACAGGTTGTCATTAAGATTGTGGTGACTGTACAATCTATTGGAAAGTTGGAATCATAGCTACAGTGTGGAGTGAGCTAATACTAGTATACACAGTGGTGGTATAGGGGTCGTGATATTTCTACTCCCCCCTACCCTATCCTACGCTGGCAACTAGTGTACAGGTTAGGGCGCTAGGAAGCTGCCCCTTCCCTGGGTTTCAGCTCACTACCTAAATCTACTCGGATGCCAAGCAAGCGCAGTGCCGGGGCCCACTTTTGGGGTGGCAACGCCTTGGTGAAGATGTCCGCAGCCTGACTGTCGGTCTGACAGTACTCAAGCTCGGCTGAGTCATCATGGAAGACTTCGGACAGCCCGGACAAATTAACCTTATGGGTGCGAGTGATGTGCCTAAGCTTAGGGGAATAACCTTTACGTACTACCAGGATGGTAGCTTGGTTATCTTCTAAAACTCTAAGCGTCACGGTGCGCCCTAGGAGAAGCTCCCAGAGTTGCAGGGCCGGCAGGCCTTCTTGGTAAAGGGAATAAGCCAATGAAACCACTTCGGACTCTGTTGTAGAACGGGACGTGGATGTTTGGCGTTTGCTAACCCACGCAAGAGGGAAGAAGGAGTTAGGCCCATATAGAACTAAATACCCACCGGACGTGGATTTTCCACTAAGACGATCACCGGCGAAATCGGCGTCAACGTATAAACGTAACTCAAGATCTTCGGGATTATCTTTGATGGTACCCACTAGACGGTATTGGGGTGTAGAGTCTATGTATTGGATGAGTCTTAACAACCTCTTATCGTCCCCCCTGGACCAAGACTGCACTTTAGTGGCTAAATCATTAATGGGTTTAATTATGTCAGGTCTGGACAGCCGACCAAGCCACAACGCCTTCATAAGAATGCGGCATGCATTGGGTGCCAGTTCACCTTTAGCCTCTTCATCTTCAACAGAGACAGAACCATCAGGTACAAAAGGAGTGGCAGCATGCTTCAAACTTTTGGTGTTGGTGATGGACTTATAAAGATCAACTGTTTGGTGTGCATAATCTAGCATGTCAAAGACTAAGGCTTCCTGTGCGCGAAACGCAGCACATTCCTCGGAACCCTCGGTTTTGGGCAATGGTATTACTAGATGATTGCGACCTAAAATTCGGTATATTGGTTCAGGTGGCTCTATATCCACAACAGATGTCAGCTTTGCCCAGAAGGCATCATGTTGGTCAGTGGGACCAGCAAGCGTGAGATCATCTACATAGGTGGAAAGCAACAACTTAGTATCTGGGAAAAAGAAGTTACCAGGGTATTCAGGTACCTCTTGACCACCTAGGTTGCGGATAATTTTCTTTAAGTGCTGCTCCCAAAGGCCACCGGCATCAGGATGACCATATAAGGCTTTAACTAGGAGGACTACAGGTTTAACAAACTTATCTCGCCAATGTTTTGGTCTTAGCTCAGGCGGGAGTTCTATCCATGTCTTGTATTTTGAAGACAGGAGTGCTTGAACGTAGGCCTTAACAGCATCAGCTGCGGATGAGCTATTACCTGGCAGGGAACCGTATGCCAAGCAAGCATTCAAACCTTGGACCGAAGTCGGGTTTGCCCCTAGCTCCTGGTAGACCGCTGCAGCGCCATGTTCGTCCTTTGCGCAGTCGCCCCTATAGACGATCCTGCCCTTCATCTTTTGCAGGTGCTGCGCAAGCTCGAAGAATTTAATGGACGCTATGGTCATGAGTTGCCCGAAATGAACGGACACTCCTGTGCGCTTGGCCTCGGCGCGTACATCTTCCTTTTCCCGAACGGAATCAAGTGACCACGTTCCTGCCTTGATCAGTCCGTCGGCCTCAGCCTTAACAGCATCAAGGGCTTGGGGGTTGGATAACATCTCGGCCCTAGAAAGCAACTTAGTTACCATAGCTTGAACCTCTTTGGAGGGTTCATTGTTATCCTCATGCCCGAAGGCTTGTGACAACAAACGCTCATGGTCTAGAAGCTCCGACACTAAGCAGTTCACTGTTGGATCTGTTTCAATGGCAACTGCAAGATCCTCAAAACCAGCTAGTGGGGACACATGTTTAAGATGTTGTTCAACTTCGCGGTGCTCTTGGGGTTCGGTTGGAAGTGGAGCGCATGGCATTGCGGGAGCATGTTGTTGGGAACACTTAGCAGGGTACAGCGCTTGAGTAATCAAAAATGCCATCTCTGGGGGATACATAGCTGATCGCACTGTTTCCGAACCTTCACACTTTTCATGTGGTTGTTCACAACTGCACTTTTTATCTTTAAAAACATCTATTATTCTTTGGGAAGTGGTTCGGACTCTCCAAGGCTTTTTGATGGGAACACCTTTCTTGGACTTAAGACCTACTGCACAACCATCGAAATCAACTTCCATAAACTCAGGGTGAGAATTAAAGAAAGCTACGACATCTGGTCTCTTCCAGCCAGTTGAGGGACGTGGCCATTCAAAAGAAACAGCGCCTCCTAGTTTCAAAACTAATTCTGCCCTTTTGGTAAAGCTTTTGAAAAGTCGTTTCGATTCTCGGAGTTGGAGCGCTAATCTTTTCATGTAAGCAGCTCCTCCCCTCCGTCTATTGATATACTGCCAAGGAGAACCAGACGTGCATGGTATGGACGACCAAAGATTAGGTGGTGCAACTTTTGAGGCTTCACCTATTTGATAATCAAGTTGGGCACATTGATTTTCATCACTTAAGTCTATCCTTTCCTTGCTTAACCCAATGTGATTTATATTGCATTGATCGCTTGTCAACCCAAGCTGTGAGTTGAGGGAACATGCAAACTCAAACAGTGTTGACTTCTCATTGGACCTCTGGCTTTTCTTCAAGGCACGTCGTTTACGACGGTTATTGTTATTCTTAGGAGGCTGATTAACTGCGGGGCATGCAGGCACGGGCTGTGCACCGAACACTGGCAAGGAATCCCTACATAACTCAGCACAGCTGGGAGTGGTGTGTGGCAAAGTGGCAGCACCAGAGACACTATAAGGAACAGCAATTGTGATTTCACCTTCATCACCAAATATGTCTTCCTCCGGTGGTGGTCCCACGGGGGCATCCTCAAGTGCACTAGGAACTTCACTTGGAGGTTCTACAACTACCGACTCCGAAACAGGTTTGGATTTTGCTTCCAGCTCCTTTTCTTCATCTACAAGCTTCTGGAACCGTTTGCGGCACTCTGCATTGTGGTACCGAGTCTTATTCTTACACCCTGTACAACCGGGAGTCTCCTTAAACTTTATGATGCGGTCTAAGGTGATATAAACCGATCTAGGTTTGGGACCGGGTGTAGATGGGGAAGCTAAACCGCCGTCTGGTGGGAACGGAACATTCTGTAGGGCTATCTCAGGAAGTTTAACATCATCGGGATCATCCCCCCTGATCAAGGCCTGATGTTTCGAAAAACCAACGGGAAAATAGGCATCACCATCTGGAAGGTATAGTTCAGGCTCGGGTACATCGGAAACACATGAAGCACCTCTAGTTCGAAACTCTTGATAATCTAATATCCGAACAACATATCTGTAACGAAAACCAGAATCGATTCGCCAACCAAGAAACAAACCAGGAGCCATATTGGGTTCTAAGGTCCTTTTTGTTGGATGCTTCTTGCGATAGTACACAAGTTGACCAAAACACAAACGCTTACCATCAAACTTTTCACGTGTAAGAGCTTCCCATTGGGTCTTTTCAGGGTCCGCAATAGAAGGTCTATCAAAAGTCATGGAAAGACATGCGTATGGGTAACTATAAGTGTGATACTCATAAGGCAAACCAGATTGTAAGTGGACAACCCTGCAACACTCTTTCTCTTCCCGGATGTCGCGCTCTAGGAGAGCGTTGTGCGGCCAACGGTTGGGAAGGGACGTCTCAGGAACGAAGCCGACCTGATGGGCAGCCTGCTCCAATTCCTGTGCTTCGTCCATTTTGATAAGAGTATGGGTTGCAAGTTCATTGGCTTTCAATCCCACGAAATGTCGAAAATTTTTGGCGTGCGATTCAACATCTCTTTTTGATAGGGGATATGCTATTCGTGCACCGGAATAAAGGTCCCTTACCACATGGTGTGTCTTAACCCCTCCTATCCCCGTTCCAAAATGCTCAGACCCTTTTGCAAGGATAACATCATCAGTGGCCAATTGCTCAAAAGGTTGTTTTGGTGGATCAATCTTATCATCGGACTTACCATCCTTAACATGAGAGACCCGCATTGCAGTATCCTTAGCAATATGGCATAATGGGCAATATGGATTTTTGGGGTAGTGAGTCAAAAGATGCTCTAAGCTAGTGGCATCCTTTTTCAAGACTTCATCTTTGATAGGGATACCATCACCTAACTCAACAAGCAACTTATCATCTGAAGGGTGCGGTGGCGCGCTAGGAGCAGCACCTTCCGGTACACTTGCATGTGGGCTGCTGGATGCAGCTGCATCTTTTGGATCATCGGCCTCAGCAACTTCTTCAAGTCGTGCGACATCTTGGCCTGCGAAACTAGGTGAATAACCAGAATCCTCATCCGGCAAAGGATCAGCTGGGAGAGCTGTGGAAACTGGGGTTAACCTTTCTGCTGGAACAAAGTTACGCGGACTAAGTTGTTCATCGTATTGGGGAACGTATTCAACAACACG